ACGGTAAACATAGAAATAAGAGATGGTGTTATCAGAATGAGGAGCGCTAGACTTAGGAAACTCGCAGGTACAATATGAATTACTGTAAATTAAACAGATTATCAGGAATTTATTAACGAACCGTTCTTGAATTCATACTAAATTAATAATCAATCAAACCTCGATGTAAAGATTATCTGATGTTTAAACCTTAAATTCCAACTCTACTATGTGAATTCAATTACTTCAGACAATCCATAAACTCATGTTTGATATATTCATTAAAAACGTAGACCAACTCTCACTGTGTCTAATTATTTAGTTCATCTAAGTTTTGTTCAAGTAATTAACCATGCTCTCGCGTGCACCAATTATCCTAAGATATAGGTTTAAAGTGATCAATAAACTTAGCATTAAGATCAACTAGATGAAGAACCAAATGATTACCCTAACAATATTATCAAGTTAACAATTCGTTAAATAGCCTTTGAAGAACCCTAATCTAACGAGGGAATTATTCAGTAATAATCATAAACAATATCATAATAATCTGAATAAAATGCATAAATGAAATAGAGGAATAAAGGGAATTCAAAATCTTTTTTGTGAAGGAGTTCAAATCTCTCTCTCTAATCCTAAACTCTCTCTTCCAAGTATGAAGCATACCTTACAAAACTGTTATAACCCCTAAAATATAGTCAAAACATGCCAGGAACTCTTGTGTAGTTCCTGGACTTCTAGGCCAGACTATAATTTCTCTAAATCATCATTAAACTTGTGGGTAGAGGGAGACAAGCAAGAGTATCAATCAACACTTCTTGCATGAACAGACTTCAACTTCAAGTTTTTGGGAGAGCTTTCCTGAAAGCTCCAAAATAATTCAAAAGCTCAAATCACGTCTAATGTACCTAGACTTGAAAAGACTCTAAAACAAGTTCATACATATGCATATAGAAGACTATAGAAAAGGACTTATATCATGGTTAAAACTGGTAAACACCATCTTATATCAATTGGAAAACCCTTGGGCCGATCTACTGAGTCAAGCTCAACGGATCAATCATTTTGGTTAATTCTTTAAATGTCGAGCTCTTGAGCTAGGCCTGTGCATTCGAGTCATCGGTTTGAATTCAGGTTGGGTATTGTCTGGTCCGAGTTCTTAAGGTCTTAGATATTTAGATCCAATAGAGTAATTAGAATTTGTCGGCTTGAGTTTGGTTTGGATCCTGTATAGTCCAGGTTGGTTTGAGTCTTAGATAGTTGGACCCAATAGGGTAATAAAAATTTGTCGGTTTAGGTTCAATTTAGGTTTGGTTTGGGTTATGTTGGTTTAGGTTCAAGTCAGTTTTCCTTTAGGTTTTGGTTTGGATCCAGCCTAAACAATTACTCGAAACCACCAAAAATACATAAAAAATTTTTAAATATACAAAAATATCTAAATTTTATCCAACATTGGATCCGAAGACATGAAAAATACCCAAACATTTATATAATTACCCAAACTATATTTATGAAAATCTAAAATTTTACCTAAAACCCTATATTTGAAAACCTAAACCCGAAACTTAAAAAAATATCTATAATATTTAAAATATACTAAAACACCCATATTTACCTAATAGAATCAATACTATTAAAAGAAAAGTACCATTTATATCTACTACAAAAAATTCATGTTGGACCATCTCATTAATATGACATATTTAATTATTTATATTAATCAATCAAATATATATATTTGGAGGAATATTTTAATAATTACTAAGATATTAGTAATAAATTTGTTGAGAAAATATATAAAATATGCATTCTTTAATTTCGTGATTAATATATATAAATATATATATTAAAAATAAAAATTGTTATATATTATAATTTAGTTATATTCTATAATATATTAAAATAAAATGCTATGTGAAATGAATATAAAATATATTAAATTGGTAAAGAAAAGAATTTTATTTAAAAAAATTTCTTTTATTCAAATAAATAAATATCACTCACTTTTAAAACATATTAAAGTTTTAAATCATATAATATTTTTATACAAAAAATGTTAACATATATTTTTGTAACTCACAACAAATACATTATATATGAAATTTTTTTTTATTTTAAAACTTACAACAATATAATATAGAAAAATAATTAAAATTATAAGATTATACAATATATAACAATAGAATGTAAATCGTAAATATTTGAAAGGTTTTCTTTTATTTTTATAAAATGAAAAATACTCGCACATCCTTAAAAGAGAAATACCATTTATATCTAATACAAAAAAGTCATGTTGGACCACCTCATTAATATGACATATTTAATTATTTATATTAATCAATCAAATATATATAATTGGAGGAATATTTTAATAATTAATAAGATATTAGTAATAAATTTGTTGAGAAAATATCTAACAAGATCTTACAAAGAAGTTTAAATATTTTCATAAAGTATGCATTATTTAATTTCGTGATTAATATACATAAATATCTATATTAATGTTATTTAAAATAAAAATTGTTATATTTTATAATTTAGTTATATTCTATAATATATTAAAATAAAATTCTATGTGAAATGAATATAAAATATATTAAATTGGTAAAGAAAAATATTTTGTTTAAAAAAATTTCTTTTATTCAAATAAATAAATAAATATCACTCACTTTTAAAACATATTAAAGTTTTTAAATCATATAATATTTTTATACAAAAATGGTTAACATATATTTTTGTAACTCACAACAAATACATTATATAAAAAAATTATATATGAATTTTTTTTTTAAACTTACAACAATATATTATATAAAAATAATTAAATTTGTAAGATTATACAATTATACAATATATAACAATAGAATGTAAATCATATATATTTGAAAGGTTTTGTTATATTTTTATAAAATGAAAAATATCCGCACGGATGTGCGGGTTCAAAATCTAGTTTCATTATATTTTGGAGGTCTCGAATTCATGTCGGGTCAAATCGGGTTAAAATTCCACAGGTCCTCTATACTATAACAAGATCCAGTAGTGTAAAAATGTCATAACTCGACTCAAATCAGTTTTTTCAGTTCGGTTCGGTTTAAGTTTTGGAGTCTGGGTAAAATGTCTGGAGAAATCGTCTATAGTGCCCTTAGATGAAAAATTTAAAGATAAAATGTCCTCACTTTTTTATTTTAATTTTATATGTCAAACAAAAAATCATAAAATTAAACTGGAAACATGAATATCTTTTATTTGATTTATAGAATTTGATAAAAATATTTCAGAAATCCAAAAAAAATTTTTTTTCATATTTTCGCGAAAATCATAATATGCTTAAAAACGATTTTAAAATATTTTTTTTCCGAATTTGAAAAGTAGAGAACTTAAATATTTACACATGGATTCACTGATCCATAGGGGGTTTTTTGTTTAGTTTTGATCGTTCAAGAAGAATTTGATTTGGGATTTTCATTAAATGATGAAGGATATGAAGATTAGTAGAGAATATAAGAGCATCTCCAATCCCACTCCAAACTCCATTTTGCAGTAAAATCATCTCCAACCCTACTCCAAAACCCACTCCAAAACCCACTCCAAAATGGAGTAACAAACATGATTACTCCAAATATGGAGTAAACAACTCATTACTCCAAAATGGAATTAAACTTTTTTATTTATAAAATAGTCCTCCACATTTATATATTTTTAGTTTTTAATAAAATATTATTATAAATAAGTATATTAATATTATTTTACAATATATATGATAAATTTACTGTTAACGTTTCTTAACTGTATAAACAGCCTCATTTTAATAAAATATTATTATAAATAAGTATATTAATATTATTGTTCTATATATATATATTATAAAATTTACTGTTAACATTTATTAATTATATAAACAGCCTCGTTTTTAATAAAATATTATTATCAATAATTATATTAATATTATTTTATTATATATACTATTAATATTTCTTAATTATATAAATAGCCTTTTTAATAATATTATTATAAATAAGTATATAAATATTATTTTACTATATATATTATAAAATTTACTGTTAGTGTTTCTTAATTATATAAATAGCCACATGATGAACTCTTTTACGCAACAAAATATATATAATGTAAAACATAAAAGATCATACATATAGAAAATAAAAGATAAGCACCATACAAAAGAAATAACATAAAATAAAACTTACAACAAAGATAATTGTTTAATAATTCGATAAATCATTTCCGGATCCATTAAAATTATTAAAATAGTTGGATAACATATTATTAAATTCTTACATAACATGATAATATAAGATGATTGTGATCTCGAAGAGCCAATTGAAGTTGAAAGAGAAGTTCTACCTCGAGAAGTTGAAACTGAAGGATGTGAGGTTCCAAGATTTTCTTTTCCGTTTCAGAAAAATCAAAGATAAATAAGCTTATTTTTGACTTCAAAATGCATTAGTTGATCATTTGTGGGAAAATTATTCTAATTCTAATGAATAATTTAGAATTGATGTATTATTGTGTTTAAGCTATGTAATGTAATTTTTAATTTACTAAATGTTTTTGAAAAAACTTTGTTGAGTAATATGATTTATATAATAAAAATTTGATTGTTGTTAATATTGTATTTAATAGAAATGCTATAAATTGAAAATGGATTGTTTTGCAAATAGTATAAATGAAAGGTGATATTACTAATTTTAAAATAAAAAATATAAAACATAATATATTACAAAATATTTTTTTGGAGTATAAAATGGAATAATACATTGGAGTAAAACTCAACTATATTTTGGAGTTACTCCATTTTAGAGTAGAAAATGTAGTAATACATTGGAGATGCTCTAAGTGATTTAAATTGTTTGAATAAGGGCGTCTAGGTGATGGCTCAAATGCCTGGGCCTATCTTGAGCCGAACTCGTGGACCAAGTTATTGGGCTGAGCTCTCTTATTCGACAGGCTTGTAGCTGGATGTGACTATCAAAAGAGAGAGAAAAACACAAGTTACCGAAAATATGGCGACCGAGGATGTGAACGAATCCCTTGCGGCGGCGGAAGTACCGGCCATAGAGTCAAAGGAGAAGCAGCCTCACAAGCTCGAAAGAAAGTGGAGTTTCTGGTTCGATAACCAATCCAAGCCCAAGCAAGGCGCCGCCTGGGGAGCTTCCCTCCGTAAATCCTGTACCTTCGACACTGTCGAAGATTTCTGGGGGTGTGTCTTCTTCTCCTCCTTGGTTTCGTCACATAGGTTAGGTTTTGTGTCGTTAGGGTCTCATCCTCTCTTTGCTCTATGATTCATTGTAACGTTAGATCTGTATGCCTTGTTAGATTTCTTTGATATCTGACATCTGAGTTTCTGTATCCCAGTCAATGTAAATCTATAGACTATTATAATTTCGTTTTGCAGTTTGCACGAGAGTATATTCATTCCCAGCAAATTGACACCGAATGCTGATATTCACTTGTTCAAAGCTGGCGTTGAGCCAAAGTGGGAAGATCCAGAGTGTGCTAATGGCGGAAAGTGGACTTATGTTGTTACCAACAACAGGAAACAAGCTTTAGACAAGGCTTGGCTTGAAACTGTAATATCTTCTCTGCCCTTTTACTATTTTTGTGGCTTTCTCTTGCAATTGTGGCTTTCACTTGCATCTTGTTTATGTCCTAATGACTATTCTCTCGTTATTGGCCAGTTGATGGCTTTGATTGGAGAGCAATTCGAAGAGGCAGATGAGATTTGTGGTGTTGTTGCTAGTGTGCGCCAAAAGCAAGACAAGCTCTCATTGTGGACAAGGACTAAATCAAATGAAGCTGTTCTGGTAATATTTTTATTTTCTCACTATGTACATTGATCTTGTTGTGCTGTTCACGATTACGAATGTGGTTTTCTTCTAGTTCTTATCTGTTATTTGTTTGGTTATCTTTTTTTTTTTCATTTTTTGCTTGTTGGTGTGTGCGAAGTGAAGTTAACGTACTTTTGTCTAGCTTCCTTAGTTTTAACTTGTTGATTGCTTTCTACAGTAAAATATCATAAGCTGTTGAATACATCAAAACGCTACTTGTTTCTTTTGTTGTCTCTCCATGGGTGTCTTACCAACATTTGTTGATTGACATGCGTTGTTGCTCTAAATTACCATTCAGAAGTAAAATCATTGTCTATGCTGAAGTTATGTAGGTTTGGTTAACGCTTCATAATTCTATTATACCTGCGTTTATAGTTTTCGCAGTATATATGTTAAGAGACTGATTCTGAATCTGTCTGATTAAATTAGTACTTGGTTGTTTGTTATTGTAAATCCAGATGGGTATTGGAAAGAAGTGGAAGGAGCTACTTGACGTCACCGACAAGATAGCATTCACTAACCATGTAATTAACGTTCTCCTTATATAACCGAATAATACTTCTGTTCATGTTTATCCTCCTGAATAATACTTCTGGTCATTTTTATCCTCCTTTCACGTGACTTACAAATAGGTTGGTCTACTTATTTTGCAGGATGATTCTAGAAGAAGCCGTTTCACTGTCTGAATAGAAGACGCAAGAGGAAGATGAAATATGCCTTTTTCTTGCACAATTTGGTCGGTTTACTGAAATAGCTGAGACCTTTAGTGACATTCACTTTGAGGTGCAACTCCACAAAAAATATGTTTCACTGAGATGTTTTTAATATTAAGTTCAGCAGTTCGATTAGTCAATTTTAAAAGCATTATTTTTGAAAACCATTTTTATTAAACTAATATTTGTTTTATGGATGCTATTTACGATTTTATTCGTAGGGGTGGGCACGGAGCAAGTACTTGCTATTTTAGCTATACTTGCTACCCAATTTGCTCTGTCCAAGTATTACTTGCTATCCAACTTGCTCTGTCCAACTATTATAAATTTTGACTTGCTATTTACTTGATCTAAACAAGTACAGTAGAACCTCTATTAATTAATACTCGATAAATTAATATACACTAAATATCTCTATAAATAAATATAATTTTATAGTTCCAAATTGAGTTTTTGGTTTAATTAATATATCTATAAAATAATATATCTCTAAATTAATTAAAAGAAAAAAGTTTGGTGTAGTCCCAACATTATTAGTTTATAGAGGTTTCACTGTATTTGATCTTTCGAATATTTGCAATTATTTGCCTTGACTTGTTATCTATACAATATGTACCAACACCATAAGCTTAAACTGATTTTATGTATATTTATGTCCAATTTGTGAGTAGAATAAATTTCACCATATATGTGAAGGTGAAGAAGTCATTCTATTTAAACGTGTAGGTCAAGTTTGTTGAAAATATTTTTTGAATACTGATATAGAATAAAACAAAAAGTGTCATGCATACACATTGTTATAGATTCAACCTATTTGTTATATATATATTCCACATACACACTAGTTATTTACATTCCGTGGAAAAGACATTTTACAAAAATATAATTAAGAGGGAATTAAGTACTTCTTACAAGTAGCAAGTGTTATCTTTTTTTTTGCACTATTTGTTACTTAACTCGTTTACGAGTAATACATTTTTGAAACTTGATATTCGACTTGATAACGATAAATACTTATTTTTTTCAAACGAGAACGAGACAAGTAGCGGGTACGGGGTAAGTACCAAGTATTTTTGCCTTGTATTTCAGAAAGTACTGTTTTGTAGTGTTTTTGTTCAGCTGATTGATACCCATAAAGTATTGTTCAAACGAACAATTGACGATAAACGACGTTGAAGCACTGATGAGTGGAGGTTGGAGATAGATACGTAGTGATTGACTCTGGTGGTGAATTGTTGACCGGCAATATTTTTGGTGAGAAACTCTAGAAACAGAAAAAATCGAGAGAAAGAAGTCCTATCTAACTTGATTTGACATTGAAACAAGCACAATCAGCTCTAAAACCAACAAAGCTTGTGAATCTCAAAGACATCATCAAGCATATCTTTTGGTCAGGAAGAAGGTGGGGCGGTTGAGGGTCCAAATCCATATATAAATTTGTCGCTGAACAACACAAAATGAATGGACCTATCAGGTGTAGAGGCGAATGGGCAGATGAGTCAGTCTCGGTTGGCAACATATGTGTTAAAACGACCAAGAAGAATTGATATCATTAACTTTGGCTACGTGAGATAAAAACCTGACAAGACTTAATGGGCAAGAGCACACTGACTCCATCTTCCAACATTTACTGTGTCGGGACCATAAAGTTACCAAAACCAAACAAAAACTCATTTTATGAAATTCTATCAAACTAAACATGACAGGAAAGAATCCAAGAGGCTCAATTGACTACGGCAGAGTTATAGTCGGGCGAGAGGAGAAGGGGATTTGACGATAGATAGTACAACGAGTCAGGACTAACATAGTGGTGGGTGACGGTGAAGAACACGGTAACAGAAGGAGAAAATCTTCACAGCATGTGGTCGTGTTCCACAAATTACATGTTTCTCATTTCAAAAGTGCTTTGAAAAGATGTTGTGTTCCAAGAATGCCTTTGAATATGTTTGTTCCAGTAGCAAGACTTGAATCCATGTTAGTTCACTAGATGTCAAGAGTGCTTTTCTGAATGAGCACTACTAGAAGAAGTCTAGAGTGGGGATCTATCCAGAGCAAAGAAATTCAAATGCAGATGATTTTCCTATTAATCATGTTTTTACCAATATCTTATTTTTTGATTTAAATGCAGAAGAAGAAAATTGAAAAAGAGAAATTGGAAAGTGGTTGTTAAAGACATAAACATAAGAAGAGATGTGAGTCAAGGGTCAACTCTGTTAATGGACACAATGGTTTATTGGCGACGAAACAAAAAGTAAGTCTAAACGGAACCCGTGGGTTAAAGGTGTGCTAATCTAAACCATCCCCTGTTTTTTATTTGTTTAAACCATTCCCTGTATAAAAAAGAAAATTATAAATATTATGAAAAGGTACTTCACTTGAGAAATAAAACTTTGGTTGCGTGGTCTTTTCTTTTGTCAAAAGACTCAAAATAAATGGGCAACCTTGGTTTATAAGTTGTTAATCTGAACCATTCTTTTTTCTTTTCTTAAAATAAGTGTGTTAATTACTTTAAAAAAAACGTGTTGTAAAAATAGGTGAAGAGTTGCGAAATATAAGTTTTTGATGTCATCAAGATTCATAACAAGAGTCTTTCATATTCCTTAGATCTAAACAAAAGAAAAACTGACCATTCTGTCTTTTCATTGTTAAAAATCCAATGTTTACAACAAAACTTTTGGAATTAGTTTTTTTTTGAAGACCTGACATTTTCTATAATTAAAGTGTTTTAAAAAGCGTTGACTAAAAAAAGTGTTTCAAAAATCATAATAAAAATTAAGAATTATATATACAATATTCAACTTAACATTACTTTTGCAAAGGTCTTATTGAAGACCCGACATTTTCTATAGTTAAAGTGTTTCAAATTTTTTTGAAAAAGTGTTTCAAAAATCATAATAAAAATTAGGAATCGTATATAAAATACTCAACTTAACATTAATTTTGCAAAGGAAAAAACCGATTAAAAACTAGAATTCTTCAATACTAGGAGTTAGTCTGCGCTACGGATGTGTGAATTTATATTAAAATTATTTATATTATAGTATATATTAATTTTATAGAACAACTGAAATAATGCTTTAAATTGAACTTGTAAATTTTATTTTTTTCTAATATCATATTCTAAATTTTATTTTTTGGTTTCAGTTGAAAAAATCACTAACGTCTTCTTAAAGATAATACAGTTTTTTTTAAACCATTTAAAAATTGTAATGGTTTATATTTAATCGACTTTCATTCTTAGATAATATGTACAAATATTTTTAGTATTGTGGATGTGAAATATATATATATATATATATATATATATATATATATATGTCATCACCTTTCGACGAATGTACATATTTATTAATTTTAAACTAGAGCTTGATCCGCATGTCTTTATTTTCACTTTTATACATACAAATATTATTTTAAATATTTATCATATTTTAAAAAAATTATAAACATCATAGTGAAATAGTTTATATGTTGGAAAAAAATATTAACATGTGGGACATGTTAAACTTTCGACAAACATTGAACCATTGGTATGTTCGAGTAATGTCTCTTTTAACACAAAATCGTTTCCCAACTATGGAATATTTTAAATATTTTATTTATATATAGGTCATATCGCAAGATTTAGATAAATCAGAAAGAAATATTACATTATAAACATTAAATATTATTCTACAAGTAATTTTATGATATTTATAAGTTAATATAAATAAATTTATTGTTCAACATAATTAATAGTAACTGAAATGAATAAAAATATATTTTAGAAATATTTGATATATATATATCTATATATATATTAGGAAACATTTAGATAGATTAAAATGAGTATTCGATTATAAATAATCCATATTATTCTACAAATAATTCAAAATAGTTAAACCTTAGCATAGATAGATTTTACTGTTTAAAATAATTAATGGTTAATCATATATTTTTAAATTTTTTAAATACATATATTTTAAGCCTTACAAGCTAAATATGTGGAATTTATATGATACTTGGAAAATATTATATTATATTATTAAAATGATTTTAAACTTGAATTTTCCCAAAAAAATAGCTAAATCATTTAGGAAGTATGTTGATCACAAAAAATTAGGTAAAATTGATTTAAAAAATGATTTAATAAAATGCAAAAAGATAATCCTACTATATATTGATTGAGAAGTCACTTCTAATGATTTTTTGCTTAGTTGTTACTCATTGGTGAAGTTTAGAATTAATTCTCTTAATTTGATTGCTTATTGGTATTTGAATTTTTCATTTACTTAAATCAAGTTTTTAAAAAGAAACTAATCATTGAATTACTTAATCTAATCTATGTTACCAAATAAACAATCAAACATATTAAATTTAAATGAATTACGTATGTATTATGTAGATAATAATATAAAAATTATGTATAGTATAATTTAAAATAAAAGTAAAATTAATTTTAGATAACAGGCATATTTAAGATTTTCAATAAAAAGTCTGTAAATTATTTCATGTTTTAAATGAATTTTTTTACAAAAAAAGATTTAAAAAATCCTTGCAATTATATAAATGTATAATTAAAAATAAAATACAATTATTTATATTTTTTATTTGTTGTCTATTACATAGATGATGATAGACAGAAATTTGTATGTATAAAGTAAATTTTAAACGTATTCTATATATCAAAAAATGGAAGTTATTAATCAACAAATCCATAAAAACTATATCAATTATAAAATGGATAAATAATTTTATACATAGTTAAAAATAATCTGTTTAAGAAACTTTGTAAAAAAATTTATTTTGCATGTTATAGAGATAACTAAAAACAAAATAAATTAGTAATTAACATAATAAGCATTCATTTTTTTAATTTCAAATCATATCAATAAGAACTGTGTGTCTAACTGTTTCCAGTTATCAGAATCATTTAATCAAAAATTGGTCATAATGTTTTTAAACTTTCTACCAGCTAGAATTTATTTATATCATAATATGAAACTTTTTATTATCTATTAAATATGTACACTATTACTATGAATGAGTATTAATGTATAAATTAATAGAAACTAAATCTTACATGGAAATATTATTAAGCTAATGGGAATATATACATATAGTCTTGTTTCTTTTCATAATCTTTATATATATTTGAGTTTCAAGTATGAATTTATTTTTCATGTCATTCATATTATTAGATCTTTAAAAAAATGTAGATGAAAGACTTGATCTGCAAACCAATTAATATATATACATATATATGGTCTTGATGTGAATGTTAAAAAATAAAACTACATTCTTAATGGATTAAAATTCTAATCAGTCATATATAGTTACTGATAAAATTTTTTAATGAAATATTAAAAATATCATTTATAATTTTAAAAATAATCAAAGAACCAAAATAAATAAAAGATCTAAAATATGTTTATTTAAAACATATCTATCAAAAATTCACATTCAGTTTGAAAAGCTAAAATAAATTATAACATGTGAAAATATAATAATAATACATAATATTTTAAAATTATTTGTACCTGCAAATTTGCGGACAACCACCTAATGATTACTTAAATATAGATTTATTTAATTCTTAGTGACATAAGTTGTAAATATTGTGCAAGTTTAATGGTTAGTTTATATTTATATTTCTATTTTAATAGATTAGATGTAACATGAATTTAAGCGAAAGTGGCATAGATAATGTAGATTTGGATGTACTCGTTTAACTCATCAACTAGATTTTGACCCGCCCTTTTCAAGGGCGGGTATATTTTTTTATTTATTGTTTTCTATAGAATTTGCATAAATTTATTTGTTTTGAGTAGATATACCATCACATAAGTTTTTTTAGTATTGACGGTATTTATAAATTCAAAATATATAAAATTGTATAGATGTGTGCATTATTTATTTTTGTTAATTTTAATTGTAAAAATATATAAAAAATTGTTTTTTATTTGCGGCATGATATGCAAATATAGACGATGAAAAGGTATTTATCACATTTAATCGAATAACCTATTTAAAAACCATTGAACTAAATAGGTTTATATGCAAATATATATGATAAAAATGTATCACATCACATTTAATAAAAAAATCAATCGAATCAATATTTTTAATAGTAAGCATTCTTGCATTAGTTACATAAATATATGTCTAACATTATGTATAATAAAAATTTAAATATAAACCATGAAATTTATATTACTTCTATAATTTAGAACTATAGAAATCTTTTATTATATGTACTACTTATGTGTTCAAATGAAGTCTAAATATAAAACAAAACCTTTCAGAAGCACAACTTGTATTTATACGTCTATTTTGTGTTCGAAGAGTAAAACTGGGTTTCATGATCATCAATAGATAATGGCTATATATAAGGAGAAAGTGGATAATATTTTATTAGTACTATTTAATAATCTATTTTATTAATTGTTTCACTGAGTCCCGAAAATAAAAAGAATGTGGTAACTGCTTGGCTTTATAAATTGAACGTGGTTAGTGATCAAATAGTTAAAGTAGATTTAGTTATAAAATAATTAGAGTTTTTTAAATGTAGTTCTAGTGGCAATTTAAGTAATATTCCAGGGTAGATCAATGGAAAAAAATAGTGATGATCCTGTTTTAATAATATTGATGGTTGGATGTTAAAATTTTGAGGCTTTTAATCTTACTAGAGACTTTTTCCGGGCTACGCCCGGATATATACAATACACTGTATTTAATATTTATATTACAATATTGTATTTCTAAGTTAGAAAATTATAAATAGTAAATTGAATTAGAAATGAGTAAAACTCACGATATAGTATTTCTAAGTTATTGTATTGAATAATTTTGTTTTCATTGTTGAATATCTTGCTGCCACTAACCTAACCAATGATGTCTGAAATAAATATCGGTTACAAAAATATAGTTACGATAGTAATAAGGTAAAACATAATCAGTGGCGAAGACAATTCATTGTCACAGTGGCAAATGACCCATATGAAATTGTGAAAACATTATAGTTTTTATTGAGAATTTTAAAGTGACCCTAGTTCCAAAATATTTATTTACCCCCGTTAAATTTGTTTGACCTTGGTCCAAAATATTATAGACCATAATTCTGTAACTATATTATTTTATTTGCAGCCCATTAAATTTTATATACAGATCTACAACAAATTAAGCACACTAAATAACCCAATTATCAAAGTTATTTCAGTATGAGTTAACGTACATTCAATGGTTTATGTACGTTAGACAAAGTTATTATGACCCTGATGAATTTTTTCTGCATCCGCCACTGAACGTAATTGCAGGTAAATTAAAGTAGAAATACCAATCCAAAAATATCATCTAGTCATAGCCACGGGTTGTTTATATTTCCAAAACCTGTACTTCTATGTTGGGTTCCCGCAAAAAATTAACAATTTGAATACATAGAAAAAATTCTATTAAATTCATGAGGAGAAAACCAAAGTGGTGAGGAGATGAATCAGGTTTTTGTGGATTTTTTTGGTGGTGCATCTTATTTCTTCAGTTAGATTCTTAGCAAAACAAAATCCCAATCTGGAGTTTCTATAAAGTACAATTTAATTTTATATCTATACTAAGTTTCCAGTTTAAACCTTAAGCAAAATTTCAGATTAAAGTAGTTTATAATATTCATAATCAACTAAAAGAGCCATTCTACTGTATGTGACTTCATGAGTTTGAACCAACAATAATAAAGTATTCCATCCATTTCAGTTTAATTATTTTTTAGACTAAATTTTTGTTTTAAAATAAGTTTAATTTTATAATTTGAATACAAAATTTATTAATAATATTTTTTAATTTGTTTTTCTATTGGTTAAAATATGGTTAATTATACAGGTAATAATTTATTTATTTATTTTGAAAATACAAAAAAATAATTTTTTTCTTAATCTGTATGCATGAATCTTAAAAGACAATTAAAATGAAATGGATGAAGTAAATAATAATTTAGGTGTTAGATTATTCTCCTTATCGTTCCTGTTATTAACATCAATAAAATTTTATGTTTTAGTTAAAATTGAAAGATTTTATATTTTCATTGTTTATTTAAAATTGTTCAATTTGTTGTCGAATGAATTTCGTAAAGACTTGATATGTTTTAAGAACTATAATTTATAATTTATTAATTATTGTTTCTTTTAGGTGAAGTTAATAAATAATATTTTTTTGTTGGTAATGGTGTTTCTTTAAATATTTTGTTTTTGTAATTTTGTAGACAATTTGCCAATCTCTTTCCAAAAATCACATACAAAGTTTTGATTCCTTTTTTTTGATAATGGTGAAAACATATATTTATCGTAAAACATGGAGAGTGGAGACTACTCTGATTGTGATTCACAAAGTATCCATGCATTTGAGCTTTTAAACAATCTGTGCCAATCAAATGAGTCATCTGCAACTTCTCCAGATCTTCCTTTGTCACAAAATTGTAATTATCGTAAATAGTTGTTTGTCAAGTTTCCCCCATCTCTTCCTGAGAATATACAAAAAAAAAATGTTCGCAATAAACAATTTCACCGCATATGGGGAGACTCTTTGAATCAGATAGTTACCGTTAGGTTTTCAAGAGGAGAACACCATTTAGGAGGGGGACCAAGTTCAGGTATGAAGTAAGATGGGATTAGGGTAGTATCTAAAGCCAGAAGCATTAGTCCACTTCCAGGGAACACACAAATGTCGTTTATTCCTCCTCCACTCGGTTATATGCTGATCATACCTTCCCCTTGTAAGGACAAAAAGGGTTACCCAAAGCTGTATCTAGTTATGAGTTCAGGAAACTGAGAGAAGCTTACTGTATTCGGATCCCATATTCTAACAATGTGCTTGTCAGTGGTTATCAGCTTAGGTTGTTAAGTATTAAGAGTTTGTTGCTACTTAATGCTCAAAATTGGGCTCTCGTACATGCAAATTATTCAAGAAAAGACTATGAACACCAAGGAAACAAACCCTAAAGTTATGGGGTTTATGACGGATTAAAAGTTCGTAATACTACTTACATGTGATCCTTCACATGTATGGGAGCTGAAGTTCTCAAGTCGTATATGAATACCTGCAGATATAGAGCACCAGTGCACCACAATCAACAAAACATAGCTATATAGCAAATTGACATTGGTTTCCAAAATGAATCATTGAATCTGATCTTTCCGGCACTACTTCCAACAGCTACTTGAAGACCTTCACTATCATCAAACTCCATAGCAGTAACCTCCTATCAACCATTAAAAAAGAAAAGCACATGATTATCAGAAATATTGATACAAAATTCATATCTGAATGTGGAGTATATGTTAGAAGAAGTACCAAAGCAGTATCACCACCATGTGTAACTGCATTGATCCTAGCAGCAGATGATTCCATTCTCATATCGAACATTCCACAGCACCATCCTCACTACCACAAGCAACCAATCCATGGAGATTGCTAGATGAAAAAAAGATATATAGTCTCAATAATCTGATTTTAGATGAATAATGATGAATCAAGAAAATGCCAATGGATATACAAACCTTCGAGAAATCTAACACTATTAAATTAACTTTAGAATTTCAATAAAAAAAAAAGGCAAGCTTTGAGTAGTCATCATCCAATACCTGTAATGCAAACATAACACATTCTTGAACCAGAAGGAAGAAGATAGGCTTGGACACAAACTCTTAACATATAACAGTTAATTGGAGTGCTTATTATCGATACATATAAGCAATCGAATTAAGGGTATAGCTTATGACGGAGGTTTCTTAACATATAAATTGTCAAGGACGAAGAAGAACCACATATAAGCTATAAGCTTATGACACAATCTCCACAGTTTCTGTCATAAGATCACCGCCGAAAGCGGAGAGGTTTCTTCGTCATAAGATCGCCGGAAACTGTAGAGTTGTTGTCGGAATTCATCGCAATAATCGCCTGATAGAGTTGTGATAAATCTTCAAAAGAGTGGATTATAAACAAATAGAGAGGGAGAGACGTGAAAGAAGCCATAAATGAGATATTAGGAGGTTTGATTGCACAGTGGTGGAGCTGTGTCGATTTATCGATTTTTGGTTGGAGGAGATGAAGAGGAGGGGAAACGCCGAAGAACAAAGAAGAAGAACCTCATCGCTCATCGTCGTTTGGTTTACTGGGCTCACTGGGCTCTATCATAAACAAAAAGGTAAGCCCAATTTCACCCAAAGCTCTGCTGACGTGTCCGAATACAATCTTTTTATTGGTCGATTATAATTGTCGATGTGGCATAGCTCACAGCCTTTTATATGGGGGTTTTAATAGTGTTAGATTTTGGGGAAATACTTGATGTGTCTATTCTTTAATAAAAGTTAGTAAACATCCAAGTTTATCATAAACTGCTACGTAGACTACCAAGTGTTAAATATGAAGTTCATACGTAAGGTAGCATCACTACTTGACTTATCTTAACAAAATTTTGAAATATTTTTAAAAAATATGTTGAACGTGTATTCTAAAAAAAACTTGCGTTAATAAATCAAACACTGATCACTACAGTTTAAAGACAATAGAATGCTGTGGGGAACCAGGATTTTTTTTGTATTGGGGTTTAGGATCAGAATTTTTTTTTTTCGAAAACCTAATTTATAAACAATAACATAAATGTATTCTATGATCATTTTTTGTTTGAAACTTATTTATCGTAGGTTTTTTTTACAAAATTATTAATCATAACTTCATTTACTATATTTTCGAATAATTTTTCTAGATAGAATAAATAAAGCAAATATTTGGAAACTGATATCCATGCAATTTCGTAATACTTTTTTTTTAACATTTGCATACATGTCTTAGAAGCTATCATAATTTAGATAGATTTTTCTTTTCAGATTTAGAACCATTAGTTATCTGACAATATTTAAAAGTAGCCCACTTAAAAATAGAAAATTAATTCTTAAATATATTTAGACCGTGAACATAAACCCTAAACATTTTTATTGAATTGAAACAATGAATTGTAAGCATTTACTTTACTACTTTTTTTTACGATGTTTTCTAAAATTATATACGCAAAGTAAAATAATATAATAAAAAAAGAAAGAAATATAACCTAAAATTTATCTTTAAATGGCTTGTGAAATATGAGAGTTTTTCCGCTCTCTTGCGTTAGTCGGATAATAAATATAAATCACTTTTTTAAATGCGTTCCGTTTTTATTTATTTTTTCTGATATTAATTATTTAGGAATATATGTAACTAACATTTAAGATAAATTGTATTTTAGGTTAAAATAAATATAATCTAATGTTTAACAAATAAAAACTATAAACATACAATTTATATAATTAAAATTTATCTTTAATTTTAATGTTTTATAATTATTTTAGTGGGGTCATATTTTAATGGGGTTAAATTTAATTTTTAATGGGTGTCATTACAAATTTTCTAAATAAAAAACAAATATATTTTAAAAACAGTGGGTTCAGCTGATAGTCCGCCTTCAAGGCCTCCGCCTCTGATCGAATGGTGAGATGAGTTTTTGATAATTACAACATTTGTTGCTACGTATGACCTATCTGCTTGTCTTGGTATTTGCTTTTGTAACGGTCCTTCTAATTATTGGAGAGTAATTACTGGATGAATAAAGTTGCGGATTTGCTATTCTAATTTGAATAATACAAAACACTAACAATTCTACACCGTTTATAACGTACATCGTATGATTCCACTTGCTCGATTAAAATTACTTTCTGATATTTAGATGCTGATACGAATAAGCTTTATAAATGTCGAAGTTTCGAGGTTTCTTACACTCCATTTGTTTTTTCCTCGGCCTGTCAGACAAATATTTGGAATACTAAACTTTAAGATGGAATTAACAGCTTTGATGCTCAAAAGAGTTTTACAAATGTATTCATACTAATCTGGTTTATGATTCTGGGTTGTTTCATTGAAAGCATTAACTAAAATGCAGAGTAGTCAATAACGGAGAAGCTTGTAGTAAGCATAAAATGCATAGTCTCAACAAATCTCAAAAACAGAAAAAGAAAAAAAAGAACCCAACAATATGTTTCATAATGTATCCAATGATTTAACCCCACCATGCTTTGTAAGAGCGGAGGAGGAGCCTTCGTCAATAGGAAATTTTCTTGTCAAGATGTCTTCTCCCAATAAAGTTCGAGAAAACCATGATGTATTGGTCAACGACAATTCCACAGCAGGCTCACCGGATTCTTATATTTCGGATATCCTTTCGTTTCAGAAGGAGATGGATGCTGAAGAGGCGGCACACCCAGTTCACGTTACCTTGACGGATCCGATAACTCTTGTAGAGGCATCTAAAGTTGTTTCGGACATGTCAGCGAGTGTTGCTATGGAACCTGCGGTGAATACCACCGTCGAACAATTGAGTTCATCTGCCGTCCCGACTCTTACTGAGGTCGAACCAGCCGTGGTCCCGAGCTTACTGAGGTCGAGCCAGCCATGGTCTCGAAGCCTCCTCCTCCGGCCAAGAGAGTGATCTTTTTGGGGTTTCCGGCGCTGAGTGCGACGCGGGCTTCTTCGCCCAAAGATCGCAAAAGGCCTTGCGCGAACCCCGATGCGGCCAAGAAGAGGAGATATACGAAAGCTTCCGATGCCGGTCCCTCATCAAACAAGGCGCTGAGCTCTGGTCTGATGTCGCAGCATCGAGCCAAGGTATAGATTTGCGAATACACCTTTAATGTATCTTTATTTTTACAAAGATTTGGTGTCTGACCGCCTATATTGTCGCCCAGTTTGTCTCGTTAATCGATGGAATGATTAATGAATGTGGGTCCGAGGTCGAGCGTTTGGCCAAGGAACTAGCTGAGTCGCAGGAAAGGTCCGCTCAGCTCGAAGGGAAGTTGAAGGTGATCGAAGATGTGCATTTTGTGGAGGTGTCTCAGTTCGAGGCTAGGATCAGTGACTTGGAGCGGGATCTTGGGAAGACTGCAAGTTCCTTTCTCAAGGCAAAGGATGCTAAGAAGGCTAAAGCCTCGGAGCTGCGCATACTTCAACGCAAGATCAAGAGTATCGAGGGGTTGACGGTCTGCGAGATTGAAGGGGTCAAGGAGGGTGTACCTGCCGAATTAGAGTTAATGGAGACGGAGGGCGACCTCGGTCGGCTCTTGCTGGCCTGAGATCTGTGTGCGCCCTTCAGCCAAGTATGGACGAGAGCAAGGCTTTAGAGGTTGATGAAGGTGGTGAAGAGTTCCGATGAAACGATGGGCGAGGATGAGACTCCGTGTGCGGAGGATGTTTGAAGTTGTAATCTCGTATGAGACTTTTATTTTAGATCTTTGTGTTTTGGCCAAGTGTGGGCGTGTTTTTATTTTGGTACTGGCCGCTATGGCTTTGAATCCCCGTTGCTTTTGCAACTTTGATGAATGAACAATCACTTTACGTTTTCTTTTGTTTCGAGAAGAATGCTTTCGTTTGTGTGAATGTAGAGGGAGGTCCGCGAGTTGTCGTCTCACATTCAAACTCTTTTGTAGATCACCTTATTCGTTTGCTCATTCTAGGACTCTTAAGAATCGAGTGAGCGTTCAGATGTAGATGAAGAGACATGTCTTTAGGATCTCAATTCATGCCTTGAGACGTTAGAGACCAGTGTGTTGGGTTTAGGGTAAGACCTAGGTTTACTTTCGATTTTAAGGCTTTGTGATGACTAATCGGCGTTCGTTTTGCCTGTTGCGATTCTAATCTGATTCCATACCGATTTAAAGTCCGCAATAGGTTCTCGGCTTACACGACTTGTCTGGTCGGAATCGAGCATCCCCGAAGGTGCTGACCAAAATTTGGATTTCTTTATAGCGCTATTACCCTTGTGTCGGGTGTATGAGAGCTATCTCTGCGAGATAACTTAAGTTTGTTTAGAACTGTTGCGAGTTTGTTGTGATCGGCAACAAACTTAGGTTGTAGATGTTACCGTTGTTTGGACCTTCGTGAAGGATTCATATCTTAAGAGGTTTTGTACGTTTTATAGTCGCGGATGGACTGTGTTTGTTGTTTTTCTTTTTTTTTTAAGAAAGACGGTTTTCCGAATATTGGCGACGTCTCGCTATATTCAGAATTTCGTTTTTATTTTTGCCGTGTCGTTGAAGATTGTTTGAGAAATTTTTAGTTTGAAATTTCGCGAGTATACGAGTATATATATACTCACCTACCCCCCTTTTTATCAAGGGGGGACAGCTGGTCTCGCCTTGTGACGAGATGCCTACGTACTCTTTAGCAGGGATCAAGCCGTCCCGTAGTTTAGTGTTTTGCGGAGCTTGTTGCCTAGTATAGTATATTTGAGGTGCATTGCGTTCCATGATCGAGGAATTTTGATGTCCTGTATGTTAGCGATTTCATACACTCCCGGCCGGACCACCTTTATGACCTTGTATGGT